GAAACCCAGTTTCATCAAAGTTATAGATATCTGCTTCCTGGATGCCGTACTTCGCGATTATGTTTTGAACAAGCATGAACCAACGATGGATAGCCTCTGGATCTTCACATAAAGCTCTCTGATAGTCATATTTCCGACTAAAACGAGTTGTGAGCTCTGGGTGCCGTTTAACAAAGGTGCTGGCCCAGTTTACACCAACACATCCCATGTTGCGTGTTGCAAGTAATCGGTTGGCCATATCTTCCACACCAGACAACCGAGGAGGAAACCCTTTGGAATCTAGATCAAGTATGTGTTCAACAATCGTTGATTCCTCTAAATCAGTGAGTCTTTGTGAATTGGCTGATATATTGCATCGTGATTGCATGCCACGCCGGCGGCGACTAAGCTTCTCATGATCCACGTGATAGATCTTTCCAGCTGCTCGAGCGCTCAGTTTTTTGTCATTTTGTATAGCTTGAAGGGCCAATATTACTTGGCTTTCATCATTTTTCTGACGCATATTTGGTTGTGGTGATATTTGTGATAGAAGTCAGAAGTCGCGTCGGAGCAATTTCGTGTGACATTCGCCCGTGTGTGACATTCGCTTGTGGGTCACGTTATGTTATCTTGGTTATTTAAATATGACTCTTTTCCTCTTTTATCAATGGCATTGGTATGATCAGATAACGCAAAGTTAGGGCACGATCCCACCCACCCTCTGGAGGGTCGATTTCTCTACTAATTACGGGGTAATACTACCACTACTCTACGTCTCTATATTCAAGAATCTTTTGAAGCTCACTTTTGCCGTTCCAGTCATGTAGCTGTATGGATTGTATCCTGTATGCAGTAAATTGATTCGCTCTGCATGTCTACAGACCAGTCGCGTGAATTTATTACTCATTGAACGATCAAATTAATACTATCAGTCTATCCAGATCATCTTAACTACTCATACGACACCATAAGCGTACTCCCCAATATTTTCCTCGGAAACTCCTCCTCCCCCAAAACCGTACTATGCGCCCAAGGCTTAAGGCTAATCTCCCGTTGAATAGTAGCAGCGAAGCACGAACTCCATTTCATCCGGGGGAAATGTTTTGTAATATCTCCGATGGTGGAGGGGTTAATGAGGGATTCATGGGCGCCGGTGTTATCTTCAGCGTCTAGTCAGCCTTAATTCGTTGGAAGTTGCATGGAGGATAGGTGTACCCAGGATAGTAGCCAGCTGGAGCAACTGCCCTAACGCCGAGATCTTCCCCTTCTCGCACAGATCCTGATGTCTCATAATTGCCTCCACAATGCTCTCCGCTTGAGCTTGCGGTGCGATTTCCCGTCCTTTATCCACAGTCTCCTCCGCATCAACGTCCCCATCCATATCTACACCACCGCCATCCAACTCCGTCCTCGAATTAACACTCTGCAAAACCTTCAACGCCAAAATCCCCCCCCGCAAACTCGAAGCTCAATCTCGTGGAAGTCAAATTCCTCTCCGTTGCCCCAATATCATGTAACATACACGCGCAGAAATACGTCTCGTCTGAGAACTCCCACTCCGGAAACCGGTGGAACTTTATCGCGATGCCATAGTGATATACCCGTCGGGAGTGATTGTAGGTTTGTGGGGTGAGGTTGGACAGGGCATAGGTGTTTATGCGGGTTGCTAGTGGGGTTAAGGGGATTGGGAGGGCGGTTATGGGGAGGGCGGTTGGGTGCTGGGTTGGGCTTGGGGAGGTGGTTAGGAGGGTGGAGGGGGAGGCGGGGACGGGAGTTAGGCCGTAGGTTGTTATGGGGTTGGCCATTTTGTGGAGGAGTGTATTTCGGTGACTGTTGTATAGAGTATGTACTCTGCTTTTATACAGGGACTATGTTGGGATGACATCATGGTGATGGACTGTGATGGACTGTTTCGTTGGAATAGCTACATGTGATTGTATGTTTAATTGCTTCAAATACAGTATTAGCAGAACTTTTCCCATGTCGACCAGTCTGCACGAAAGAGTACTTGTTTTAGGGTGAGACCGAGCCCTAGATTCGCTAAATCTCCGGCTCAGGGAAAGTCCTCCACCATCCTTTAGTCATTCAGCTTTATGCCTCCACGTAGGTCGTATAGTTCACCTTCTATATTCGAATGACTCAAATGATATCGCGCAAACAAATCAAGCGGGTCAGTCTTCCTATCCTTGAAGCTATATAGCTTCGATTGCCTTATATGCAGAACTTCCCCCATCCATATGTGCTTAGAAAAGTCGTTTATGATGTTTACTAATGAAATAGATTAGGAGAACCGGGAAGTTCTCATCAGAAAAACAAAGCTTGTAATGGAATAGCAACTCATATGGCTTTCTTTCACTGAGGAATGCCACTACTCCTTCATCGTCCATATCATTAATAACAACCTGGTTTGCTCTATTTCGTATAGCAGAAAGCAACACGGAGAGCTCTCCATATAGTATTCTATCCTCTTTCTCGACAACAGGTTGGTGGCCCATGCGAATTTTCGAGTCCTGTGATATTGTTATCTGTGATGTTGGTTTCCTTCTGGAGGACTAGCTGCTGCCATAGAGCGTTGAGTCGTGGTAGCGCGGGTGAGTCGGCCATTGTGATTGTTAGTTTAGTGGTGCAGTATATAGTAATTGATGCAGTGGATTATGGTGAGGGAGCACATTTTTGCCGATTACGAGTGTATGACATCAAAGGGAAAAGGAACGACAACTCTTGACGATTGCCCTAATACAAATACAAATCCACGACCAACAATCCATTATCAAACCAATGAGCAAAATCCCACGAAGATAATAGTACTAATATACATCCGACACCGAGATCAAGTCAACCCTAGCTAAATAAACCAGCCGAAGCAAATATCATGACCTCGCCATCCGAATCTCATCCTCCTCCTCCGACTCAGCCTGCACATTCCAGATGCCCAGCATCTCACCTCCAAGCAACCTCTTCCCCGGCTCCGAATGCGTATTCACCATCGCCTTGCTTGATATGGCCAACGCGTCGACTAGCTCCCGCATGCGCTTAGCGCCGATGAAGCTGCGCGTCAGGTGCTCGTTCTCGGATACTTGCATCCCCAGATTCATGCATTGGACTAAGATTTCTCCAGTGAGGACGTGCGCGGCGTAGTACAGGGCGTTGTGGTAATCGAGAAATAGTTCGGGGATGTAGGTTTGGCGGATTTCTTCGAGTTCGGGCATGTTTGGTTCTGCGTTTTGTTAGCGTGTGTTTTTGGATTATCAGAGCTTGGTGCATACCGTTATCAGCAGGAATTAACCACTCGTCAAGAATGGCATCCACGTTCAAACCGATTTCGTCCAGCGCTTCCTGCAGTTCCACCCGAAGATTCTTGGTCGTACCAGTGTCCCGTCGACGGCGGTCCCTAGTCACATTAGTACACTGTAAGCCTGTAAAGAAAGGAATAAACATACTTGTCAAGCTTCTCCCATAACGTGGCAAAGTTCTCCAATGCATCAAATGCGAGAATCAGAGCTTCCAGATCACGCATTGTCTGCGACTGCTGGTACAAGATGCTTTGCTGCGCACCATTCGTGACGCCATTCGACCGACTCCGCTTATGCGCAGAGCCAGGGAGTCTGATCTTACTCGGACTCATAGGCTCCGGTGTAGGCGCGTCCAAACCATCCTCCATTTCCATAGGAAACTCAGCGACGTCGAATCCAAACGATTCTTGTGAGAGATGTGACAGGTTCATGCGTCGACTCAGCTCTCGAGCAGCAGCAAGTTTACCGGAGACTAATTAATGTTAGCAGATAACCCACTTTCGAGACTGAAAGAAACTTACTGAAAAACCTCCGGTACAACTGAGCACCCAGCAGACAAATTTTACCCCACTGGCCATCAATGTATCGAAGCCACTCGAGACTGCGAATCATGTAATCATCAAGTTCCGTAATAGATGTTCCAATAAGATCCTTCCGCACAGGCGCCAGGTACGGTGACCCGTCAGACCTCCGCAGGACCTTGGGGTACCGTTTGACGGTCGTCGAGTGTTCAACTGCCTCGACACTGCTACTAATCCACGCCCATTGGTCCTCGAAAACAGCTTCGATATCGATCTCATGCTTCTCCATCAGTCGCACTTGCTGCTTCCTCTCCCGCGGATCCACAATTTGAAGCAGAATCTGGCCGAGTGCGGAGTGCGCCAGGTGTTGAGGAAGAAGCGATGCATATAGAGGGATGACATCAAACAGGTCTCTTTCTTCCAGGCTCAAGATGTATCCAGTCACGTTCACGGACACATTTTCGAAGAATTGCGTGTCGGAGCGAACATAGCCAATCGAGTCCGCAACGAGATAAAGGTGTGTTGCGATTCTCAAGGAGTCCTCATCCTGCGCGGCGATAAACAGGGACTCATCAACTGGCACAGACGACAGCTCAGGCACATAGCTGGAGCCATCAAATTTGCTATTCGCCACATGCGAGACTGCCGAAGCTAATCGCTGGAAGAAGCTGTCATATCCACGGCTCAGAATCACTGCCTGAATAGTACGGTACGGGTTCCGTGCTTCGGCACCAATCCGTTCGTTACCCTTGGCAGCTTGCAAGAATTTGCTGGTGTCGTTGTAACTAGCGGGCTCGGGCACAAAGGTAGCCGGTGTGGTGGGCGAGAAAGCAAGCTTTCTCTGAAACTGTTTACAGAATCCTTGGTAACGACCGAGCACGACGCTGTTGAAGTGGACATATAGGTAGTCGTCATAGTTCTGGCAGACCGTGAAGGCCGCCTCCGTCTCGCCACAAAGCAACGCGTACACCGCACGCTCGAAATCCTCCGAGGTCGAGTTGTGCGCAAGGGCTGAGCAGGCAGCTTGCCAAGGACCGTGGGACCGGAAGTTCATCATGCGGGTAGTGCCGTCGTCCACAGGAGTCTTTCCAATATGCGAATCCTTATCGACACTGGAACCACACAGACTGACCGCCCGCCAATGCTCCAAGCGCTCTTGTGCCCATTCCCTGATTTTCGTCCAGCTTTCACCCTGCCTCACCATCTTCCAGCAAGTCATCCAAGTAGCTCGTTCGTGAAATTGATCCTGCTTCTGGAGGAGGTGCTTTTGTCGCGTAATCGCATCAGGGTCCAACTGCGTGATCAATGCCCCCGACTTGTCCGAACGCAGCAGCGAAATTGTGATACCCGGATCGTTGGGCTCGAGAGGTTGAGGCCAGGCCCGAAGTCGTTTCTGTCCCTTGATAGCCTCCTTGGTGTAAAGCCAACCATGCGCCCACAGGCCCTGTCCGCGCTCCGCCTGCTTCTCTAAGTCGGCAATCAACGAATCGATATCTTGAGTCTGAGTCTTGGCAGTATGTTCGAGCCATTTCATGACAATCACGCATTCACGGGCATAAGGATCCGCGGTGAGGAATTGCTCCCAGACTTCGCGATCGGACGAGTATCGGTGTAGCTTCTGAAATGCCGTCTCCTGCGCTTCCTTGTCCGTCTCATGACCGGCGGGATTATCGATACTGATGAGGTTAAGAAGGAGCTGCCAGGTGTTCGCTTCCAATTGTAGTCGTTGGAGTTCCTCTTCGGTCTTTGGATCCTGCGCTGCGGTCTCGTTTCGACTAGCGGACCATCCCATCTTGGCGCGCTTCAACGTAGATTGCTTGGAGATGTCTTGAATAGTATCCTGCGTAAACGTCTGGTAGCTCTTCACAAGTTGGTAAGCGGCCTGAAAACGTCCAAAATCATCGGACCTGTTGCCCTTTTGCTTGAATCGATCCAGCTTCTCCGCAAATGCCTCTATTTGGCGCGTTACGCGATCGGCCGTGCGACGAAGAGGGTGTAGTGCTTGCTGAGCACCGGCAGAGGTGAAGAGTTCGGGGGTAGTCGTTTCACCTGCTACAGTTAAAGCCAACCAAATCAGCTTCCTTCTTTTTCCCATTCAAATTACGAATACAGCACAACGAACCTCGAGAATCCTCAGCAGCAGCCTTCGCATAGCCATTCACCCTTGACTTTATCCCATTCGCTTGCCCTGCGAAGTGGTCCTCCTCTTCATCCTCCTCTTCTTCTTCTCCCTCGATTTCGTCACTGTATGGCACCTCCTCATCCTCGTCCATTTCGTCCTCGTCAGTCACTTCCTCTTCGCCATCTTCGTCTTCGTTCATGGGCTCTTCTTCGTCACTGTCATCGTCGATTTCGATGATCTCAGCGTCATTGGCATTGGGTTCCCGGTTCGCCTAGATAAAGCAAAATGAAACAAAACGTCAGCTACCGCCATTTATCACAGCACCAACAAAAACTAACATTAATGGGCGCAAAGCCAGCGGACGAGCCGCCAGTGCCTCTGGTCGCAGCAAAAGGAGCCATGAGAGCAGCGAACAACTGCCTTGATCTCCGGCCTGGTTGTTGTGACAGAAATCCAAATAATCCTTTCCCGGCGAACGGAGCGCGTCAGGGCGGTCGGTCCGGTTGAGCCGCTAAGCCAAATGTAGACTAGCGCCAATTGGAAGGAACATAAAAGTCTTCGCCGCAAATTTTTCCCTTTTTTTCTCTTTCTTCTTCCACAAATGTCTTATAACCATAGGCAATCAATAGAGTCTCGGGACGAAGAGTTCAATCTTCTTTCAGGTCTATAAGGCCTCTTTGCGTGCTCCGATTGTCTTATAGCAATCTAGCAGTTCTCACAACTAGCCTAACCCTTTACTTTCAACACGGGGGTTGGACTGCAAGGGAATTGTTACATCTATTTATCCACAGGATCTTTCGTAGTATGTACAGTATTGTTACGGTGTCGTCTCGCATAGGCGAGAGGTCAACCTCGTGCCTCTGCCCGTTGCTTCATCTTCAATCGCAGCAGGTTGGCTTTCGGACAGCTCACGGTCTTGCCCTCGTCGCCTTCCTTCTGATAGAAGGCGTTACAGCATTCGTATAAGGCGTCGATTTGCGTTTGGCACTTGTCTTCGCGGTACGAGTTCTTGGTCAGGCAGGCTGTAGGGTCAGTGTCGTTTGTCCGGAATGCTGGGTGTATGCTGGTGTACCTTGGATGGCGCACTGGTCAATTGTCAGCATATCTGTTACTTGCGAGGGGCAATGACATGACATACTGCTCGAGGATGGCATGGAGGATCGTAGTTCAGATCTTCTTTGAGTCCCTAGAGCTGTTAGCTCTTGATGCTGTCCGTAGCTACTTGATATCCAATCCTTACCATGACGCAATATGTCGAGGTGAATCGATATAGGGAGTTTTCAATGGAAATGGCGGGATTGAGACAAAGCAGTAAATAATACACTTAGACACACTGAAATGGTCCAAGGAGAATAAAGCACAGTACCACTGATGTTGCTGAATGAATGCTCCGTCCATACTGTCTCTTGACTATGATATGCCGACCCCCGCAAAAACAATTCTCCGCCCTCTCTTCATTTGGTGGGGTCCGTTTGCCTTCAACGTCTTCTTTGCTATCTTAGGCGCTTCTCTCCTTACACTTACACATCTCCTCGTACCTCCTCTCCGTCTGTCACCTTAGCTGACAAAAACGCGTAAGTACCAATACCACCGTTTCCCTTACTCTTATCGCCCTTTGCGAAACTATGCGACAGACCTTGTGCGACCCCAAGAACTAACTCTTCAACGCAAACAGATACCACAAGCACACCCTTCACCCGTCCGCAAATATGGCTGCCGAAGGCGACTTTAACCCGACCCCTGCTAGCGAGCCTCCCACCGTTGAGCATTTAAACATCAAGGTTACCGATAACAACAACGAAGTGTTCTTCAAGATCAAGAGGTCCACGCAACTGAAGAAGCTCATGGATGCCTTCTGTGAAAGGCAAGGGAAGCAGATGTCGACTGTTCGGTTCTTGTTCGATGGTACCCGTGTGCGCCCCGAAGACACGCCGGACACCGTACGTTCCCACCATACAATCCCTTGTGTCGAAGCTTTGTGATTTTCAGTGACTAACAAATGGTTACAGCTGGAGATGGCGGACGGCGACACCCTAGAGGTGCATCAGGAGCAGATCGGCGGAGCTCAGGTTGATGTTTGAATATATAAATTCATGCCAATGATCTCTTTTCTTTTCTTCGTCCACCCCGCATTTGGCGTAACGGTGTTTGTGGTCCAGTCAAGCTTTGCTTGAATTGGGGGTTTCGCTTTTGTTCTTGTTTTAGCTAAAACGCATTCTATTTAAGAAGAATTAGATGCTCACGAGTTATGGCTGGTTCGGTTTGCTGTGCTCTGGTTTATCTACGTTCGCCTGTTTCTAATTGTTAGACTTCCATGCTGCTGGTAGCAGGATAATATGCAGTAACGTGTTAACACACTAGCTATTATGAGAATCCAACGCATAGAGACACCATCAAGGCAGAAGCTTAAAGATCCCCAAGCGCAATCAAAATACACTGCATAATCATCTACAGAGTACTCTGTACAATCTTTATACATATACAATAACCATAGCAAATGATCAACCATCCCAAACCGCAGCCTTAGCCCTCTCCTCCTCCTCCCTCGCCTTAGCGGCCTCCTCCCTCTCCCGATTCCTCCTCCTAATCTCCTGCTCTTTCACAGACCGATCATAAGCCTTCTGCTCCTCCGTCCTCTTCGGCGCCCGAATCCCCAGAGCCCCGGCAATCATCCTCCCCGCTACAGCAGTCTGTTTCTCAGGTCGACGCGCTGGACCTGCAGATCGTGACGATGCGCCAGACGGGTTTCCATATGCGGGGATGATGGGTGCTTCGCGTCCGCTTGGCGCGGGCCAGGATTGCTGGGAGGGCTGGGATGTCTGTGGGGAGATCGGGGTTGGTGGGGGGTCGCGGGGTCCTTCTTGATCATTGTAATTCTCGTTGTCGTTATCCAGCCCGGTATCTAGCTTCTGAGTACTGGAGCTTGTAGGAGCTGTGGGAGTGGGTGGACCGGAGTCCGCGTCGGAGTCGGCTTCGTCTTCCCAAGAGTCCGCGACCTCTTCGGCCTTGTTTTTTGTGGTTTTCACATCAGAAAGTTTTGGCTTTGGGGTTCGGGATGGAGTTGGGCGCGAGATGTCTCTGATAGAGCCTTCATCGTTGAGGGAGAGTTGGCGGAGGGAGGATTGGAGCTCCGAGTCTGTTCGGATTATTAGATAATTATAAAGATAAATAGAATAATACATTAACTCACCCTTAACTGGCGTAGACTTAGTAGCCATTTCAACAATACAAATATTTCCGATGTATTCAATATCTGTACCTCAGATGATAGTAGCACAATCTGTACAAGTTAATGTCGTCAGTGGAGAGAAAAACCCCGCCCGCAGTTGGAGTCTGTTTTAAATGACGATTCATGTTGAGGCGTTCTGGAACGTCCAGAGTGATTGATTTTCTGGTTGCTGTTTCTATTTTTGAATTCTAGATATTGGGATATATTTGGTGCTCCTTCTTGGCGATCCACGCGATGAGCAATGTATGTACATAAGCAGTAGGTAACTGGGATTGTCATAACGCCTATATACATCTATCCATTTGTGTTATGCCTCGGAAAAAGAAATGCGGAGAGGTTCGCGGATGTTCCGATGTCGGTCTCCGACGGCCAGTATTTCTACAACTTAATCCGAGATTCTTGATGTGTTTCGAGAGTCGAATTGAATTACTCGCGAAGAAATAATGGCTGGATTTCACGCATTACCCGCGCGGATGCCCCTGCGGCATACACTGAAGCCAAGCCGTCGCTTCTCCACGTCTTCGTGGAGGCCCAGTTATGCGGGTACCCTTCCTAATTTAAAGATTGGGGCGCATACGAGGGTTTTGTTTCAGGGGTTTACGGGTATGTTGTGTCCAGGGAACTGTGTGTATAGTACTGACAACAGTGTACAGGTAGACAGGTACATGACCACGCAATTGAACAGCAGTCTATAATGTGTACTAAATCGTAAAGGCCACAGCCAACGTCCAAGAATCCCTAGCCTGGGGTACTAAGATCGTTGGAGGCGTGAAACCGGGTGTTGAAAGCGAACATCTGGGATTACCCGTGTTCCCGTCAGTCCGAGCAGTACGCACTCGTCTACCACCTAAGCGATAGTACCATGTTAATGAAAACAGGCCCAACAAAAAGCTAAACCAGATGCATCAGCCATCTACGTCCCCGGAAATCAAACCGCGCAGGCAATCGAAGAAGCCATCGAAGCGGAGATTCCGCTCGTCGTGGCTGTAGCTGAGCATGTGCCTATTCATGATATATTGCGGGTAGGCTATCTTCTCTATAGATCTGCAATTGGTATACTAATGTTGTAGATCCATGCCATGCTCCAGACACAATCCAAGACCAGGCTGGTCGGTGCAAACTGCCCCGGCATTATCTCGGCCATTGGTAAATGCCGCATAGGGTTCCAGCCGTTGCCCTGCTTTGCGCCTGGTAATGTAGGCATTGTTGCTAAATCAGGGACTTTGAGTTATGAAACAGTAGCGTCTACCACGCGTGCCGGCCTGGGACAGAGCCTGTGCATTAGTATGGGCGGTGATGTGCTAGCAGGGACGAATTTCGTCGATGCCCTGGAGATCTTTGAGAATGATCCTGATACAGAGGGTATCATGCTTGTTGGGGAGATTGGTGGCACGGCGGAGATGGATGCTGCGGAGTGGATTCGGGATTATCAGCGGCGTTGCGCGAGCCCTAAGTATGTGATGTTTATTGACCGGATTGAGGACAGTACTGACGTATGCAGACCGATAATGGCTCTCATCGGTGGATTGGAAGCTCCTCCTGGACGCATCATGGGTCATGCCGGTGCTTGGGCAGCTCCTGGCGAGCCTGATGCGAGAGCGAAATACCAAGCTCTGGAGCGTGTTGGTGTGACTATGGTCAATCACCCGGAGAAGTTTGGCGAGGGGATGAGGTCCCTTTTAGGACGCAGGGCGGCCGTACGTATCCCTCTCCAAGAAACAAGACTATGTATACTAACGAAGACAGTCCAAACCCAGCTCAGCCATAAACCAAAAGCGAGGCATTCATATCATGAGACGAACGACACTCACACCCCATGCTAGTCCCAGTATATCACATCCCCAGAAAACCCAAACCCGCTCCCTCTACATAAAGCCCTTCCAAGCCCTCGACATGCTAAACCTGGAAGCCCTCACAGTCCGCGAGACACCACCCTCCGAATCAGAAGCTAAATCCAATTTCTCCCTCTCCCTCACCGTCGACAGAACAGCCCTATCACCCTGCTTCATCACCTCCCCAACACCAGACCTTAACCCAGAACACTCCCGCAAATTCCCTTTTCCATACACAACCACAGACCTACGAAACACTAAAATCCCACTCATCAGAGATATCGCTTTGAAGCTGGGTCTCTCTGAAACGGCGCATCCTCAACTAGTTGCCCTCACGCAAGGGTTGTGGAAGATTTTCCGTGAAAAGGAGGCATTTTCGTTGGAGGTTAAGGTGCATCCTTCTGCGGATGGGAAATTGGAGATATATGATGCGCGGTTTGGATTCGATGATGCTGCATATAGGAGTGCCGGACGGCAAGAAGAAGTCCATAAACTGCGGAATAAAGAGGAGGAGGTTCCTGAGGAGGTCGTAGCTGAGAAGGATGGGATTGTTTATGTGAAGTATGTCCCTCCCGTCTTCTGTATCAATTGATGTGAACTAACCATCACCAGACTCGACGGCGAAGGGAGCATCGGCACACTAGGTACCTCCCCTTCCCTCTATCATCCCCCCACATCCATCAGATCTAACAATACCAGTCAACGGCGCCGGCCTAGCCATGAACACTGTCGACGCCCTAACAATCCACGGAGGACACTGCGCCAACTTCCTCGACACAGGTGGCAAAGCAACCTCGCAAACCGTCAAAGCTTCATTCCAGATAATCACCTCAGACCCGCGCGTCAAAGCCATCTTTGTGAACATTTTCGGCGGGCTTACAAGATGCGATATGATCGCTGAGGGAATTATACTTGCGTTTCGGGATTTGGGGTTGAAGGTGCCTGTGGTGGTGAGGTTGAGGGGGACAAATGAGGAGGTTGGGCAGAAGATGGTATGCTCCAGTTTTGATCTTATGTTGGTTGTTGGGTTGTGGTACTTACTGACTGGTATAGATCGCTGAAAGTGGCCTTTCTCTCCATGCATTTGATAGTTTCGAGGATGCGGCGAAGAAGGTGATTAGTCTAGCTAGTGCATAGTACGTACATACATAGAAGACCTCATTCGTTGGCTGAATTCAATGCTGAATCAAGCAAGGAAAAAAGATGAGAAATTTGTCAGTCAAAAAAAACAAAAAAAGGCCGACCACCACGGGACTCGAACCCGCAACCAATGCTTGGAGCCCATACAATCTGTGATCATAGGAGAGCAACACTCTACCATTGAGCTAAGCGGCCATCTGAGAGTTTTGCTTGTTGTTGTGTACTATAGACTAACCCAGCTTGTCTACTCCGTGCTTTACACGGAGTACTATTCCTATAGACATGCATTTAATTACCACTCCACTTAATTATGTTATTACTAGGCATGTATGATTACAATTGTGTCTAATCATGCGATGCTCTTCGAGAATAGTCTATACGGCAAAAAAAAAAAAAAA